GATACGACCCCAACAGCCGGTATCACTGCCTTTCTCTGCACCTCAAGCGCCGTCTCCAACACAACCGCAACCGTCGCCGTTATCTATGCAGAGAGCGGTTCCGTCACCCATAATGCAATCGGTTCCGTCTCCGATGACTCCGCAGCAGCCGTTCCAACAGGTCGTGACTACAATGACTACACAGCCACAGTTCGTGACCACTGGACCCGCTTTGCCCACCAATCAAATGAAAGAGCAAAGGCGTCGCATATGGGCCGGCATTATCGAGTACCAGGAAAAGCCCGTACAGCCCGGACCCGTCAATCCCGCCAATCGGATCACATATTCCCTTAACTGTCAGATTTCGTGTCACGTCGTGAACGGAGAGCCGGAAATAAACGCCGAGAAATGGCCCGAAAAGTTGATTCTCTCTCTTCTGCCAAAACAGCTAATCATGCGATTGTTTCCTATGCTTAAGAACGGCTCATATCATATTAGTCTACATTTCTCTGGCGATACGGATCAAGGATTGTCTAAACTGAGTAAAATTATGAGCACTAATTGGGTTAGTATTTGCCATGCATTTCAATTGACCAGCAATTAATGTACAATTAATGTATTTATGATACGTTGTACCAAATGTATAGGTCGGGTGCATTCAATTCACGGCTCTTAGCATACGAATGATGATCATCTTGTATATGCCCGACAAGAGGTGAACACTTATAGAGTTATAGAGTTTGTTATGTATTTGATTGACTTATATGTGTTGCTTAGGATGTATATGGGGTTTGTGCCGCACGACCAGGAGGAGTTCTTCAAAGCCATGAGAGAGATCATTGAGACCCATAAGAAGGAACAACAGGCCAAACAACAGCAGCAGAAAATGGTAAGACAACGAGGCATCACATGATCACACCCTTCCACCCATTCATTATTAATCCAATTAATGGCATCTTTTTGTTTAGTTTTATCATTTATTAATTAATTGAAATTTTCAGAAATTAGTTTTTAAATCCTATAAAGAAATAACTGAAGCATTTGAAGGCATATACTATAGTAATAAATATTGTTTTTATAAAATGAATTAAATTAATCAAAACAATTAAATATATGAAAGTTTAGTAAAGATATATAAATTAATAAATTGTTGAGTTAATGGAGACTATCTGTTATCAGTTGGTGAACACAGGGGGCGGACAAATGCCATTAAGTTTAGGTCCACAACAAGTGACCATTACTGGCGGCCAAATGCCGGTTCAGATATCGGTTCAATCCTCACAACCGCCACCACTATCGACGCCGAACAGTATATTCCAGGTATTGAACGCTAAATGTCACTCAACCTGTCAGTGACCGCCTATCGGATGCTTTCGGCTATTTTCTCGGCCATTATTTTAAATCAAACTTTAAACCAATGTTTAGATTAATATTTAATTGTTAATCATTTTTTAATATTTAACCCAAAGCTGCAGCAGATGTCCGGCGGAACTATGCAACAGACAACTGCTCCCAACATGACATCCCTGCCGATGAACACAATGCCCACAGGTATGCCCGGTTCGGCCCCAATGACCGGTCAACAGCAGTCCCAACAACAGTCCCAACAGCAAAACGTACTGCTAAACCAAGCTCTGGGACCCGTACCTACGAATCAGACACAAAACTCATTCTTACCCAACAATCTTCAAGCTTTGGTTCAAAACACTGGACCACAAATGCCTTCCACACCACAGCAGACGCCAAATAGTGCGGGTCCTCAACAGTTTGGTTTAATGCAGACTCCAGTCCAACAGATGGGCGGGTGTCGAGGTGTCTACGGATTGTCACGCGGGGCAAAAAGTCGGCAACAGAGGCTCGCCGTCTTCTTAGACGACCGCTAAGTTGTCAACCTTGTTTGAGACTTTCTCCGAGTTGCGTTTCTGATGGAGTTCCAACAGCAACAACATGTCCACGTCTCACCAGCTGAACAACAACAGCAACAACAACAACAACAGGCGCAGAACCAATTACAACAAACTCAGATACGACAAACTCTTCAGCAACAGTTGCAACAGAAACAGTTCCAACAACTTCAACAACAGCAGCAACAGCAGCAACAACAGCAGCAACAACAACAGCAACAACAACAACAACAGCAGCAGCAACAACAACAGGTGACCGGTATGAACAGTAATCCACAACTGAGACACCTCTTACAACAACACCAACAACAACAGCAAATGAGAGCCTCATTACCGCAGCAGCAAATCATTGTTCAGCCGAACATTGGATTAGTGGCACAACCGGGAGGACAAGTGCCTCAGTTCCGACTCCAGGCGCCAAACATTAATCAAATGACACAACAGACACAACACCAACAAAATAGGACCGCAAATGTCTGGGATAATAACGGATTACTCGACTTTTAGATGATTTCGTACTTACAATGCGCTTAACATTTATTTATGGGATTTTAATCATTATAATAATAATTTGTACATTTTACACAGTATATTAGTATATTCCTATATTCTTATTATTTACCAAAATTATTATTTTTTGTTTTAACACTGGTTTTGTGTTCACTTTTGTTAATACATTTTAATCATTATAATAATAATTTGTACATTTTACACAGTATATTAGTATATTCCTATATTCTTATTATTTACCAAAATTATTATTTTTTGTTTTAACACTGGTTTTGTGTTCACTTTTGTTAATACATTAAACCAAATATTATTGAAGCAAAAACTAAATAAACAATTATTTCATAAAAAGTTATTACAATTGTTTTCATTTTAACGTTTAAAGCATTTATCGTTTAACTTACTATTTAATAAATTTAATATTTAGTGAATATAGAATTGATCAATGTATTTTCTATTTCCAAAGCATACCATTTCATGCAATTTATACAACAATTGTATTTTTAAACAGATTTTCAAATATAATTGTTAATTAATGAATTACTTACGAAATGAAAGCGAAATGCAAAGCAATTAGAAATTATAATATATTAATACCGGTAACTGTAATATCGAAATACTGTAACTATAATAAAGAATAAATAAGTGATGGAAAACCATAGGAGAGATGCCATCCATAGAGAGGGTATTTGTGTTCAATATTTGCGCCAAACTATTGAAAACCATTGAAAACGATTGGAAAATACGTGTTTTGCAATACTTTTGATTCAAATTGTATTCACAATTAACTATATGTGCAACCAATTCTAGGACCTTTATCTTTAGGAAAAAGTCAACACACACACCATCTGTGAGTCAATACCAGTCAATACCAGTCAATACACGATATCAAGCTTTAGTACAGTTAATGCTATTTCATTACAATAATATTTACTTTAACCTAAAGATAGTGGTCCTAGAATTGGTTGCCTGATAGTAATATTACAGTTATATATGAAGTGAATATCGATATGAAAAAAGTATTGGTTTCGCAGATAATCGGCGTTTAAATCTCATGAAAACGATTCATACATTTCCTATGAATTGAATGCAAAACCATTTTGTGACACATTTTTATGCCTTTTATTTGTTGTGAAAAACAAATGATAATATAAAACATGAATTCAATTGTATTGAAAAAGTGGACACTTTTGGCCCACAATTGCAATGATTTGCGAAATTGCATTCAATTCGACACATATTTGAAACAAATGTAAACTAATCTCAACTCTAAATAGCATTGAATTAATGGTGTATTTGTTGACAGAACCCGAAGAATGAGTTCAGTGTTGACCACAGACTCAATCAATCAAAGGGTCAGACATATGGAGTACGCCGTGAGGGGACCTATTCCTCAGAGGTATGCCTTTGGATGATAATTGTGAACAACTTTATGATAGCTAGTGGTCTGTCTTCAGAGCCGGACAATTGGAGAAAGAGTTGAAATCAGGTTCGGGTGAGAAGAAGCCCTTCGATGAAGTGATCCGCGCAAACATTGGTGATTGTCATGCAATGCAACAAAAGCCCATCACTTTCTTCAGGTGAATATTTGCCATTTTGTGATCAAATTGACTATAAATGAGACCAATTGGTGTCAGACAAGTGCTGTCCGGATCTGCGAATCCATTGGAAATGCATTCAAATCCAAAGATTCCCAAAGAAGTGAAGGAAAGAGTGGATGAATTGCTGAACGGATGCGGCGGTGCGTCTGTCGGCGCGTATTCAGAGTCCACAGGAGTTGAGATAATCCGAAGACATGTCGCCCAATATATTGAGGAAAGGGATGGCCTGCCGAGCGATTGGCAGAATATAGTGCTCACAACGGGTGCCTCTGAGGGCGCGAAAGCTATTCTCGGTTTTATAAACTCGACGGCAGACGAAGGCATTCCGACGGGTGTTATGGTTCCGATACCGCAATACCCGTTATATTCGGCCACTTTGACTGAAATGGGAATGAATCTCATTTCATACTATTTGGACGAACAAAACCAATGGGCGCTCGACATCAACGAACTCCGCAGAGCTCTCAATGAATCAAAGAGTGTCTGCAAACCAAAGGCTATTGTGGTTATAAACCCGGGAAACCCGACCGGTTCTGTACTCACCAAAGATAATATTGAAAATATCATTCGTTTCGCCAATGAAAACAATTTAATGATAATCGCCGACGAAGTCTATCAGCACAACATATGGGATCCGAGCGCACAGTTCTTCTCATTCAAAAAAGTGATGAATGAATTGGGAATCAAACTAGAATTGGCTTCAATGATGAGCGCTTCCAAAGGTTCGCATTTATAGCTATGGATATAATGAATAATTTATAAATTTATACACATTTTAATGATCACTAATTTATAGGTTTTATGGGTGAGTGCGGTCTGAGAGGCGGTTATTTAGAATTAGCCAACTTTGACAGCCAAGTGAAGGCTATCTTCTACAAGATGTTGAGCGCACGGCTCTGTTCTTCAGTGTTGGGCCAAATAGCAATGGATTGTGTTGTGAATCCTCCGCCAAAAGAGACCCAATCTTACGATCTATACATGAAGGAAAAGAAAGAAGGACTGGAATCGCTCCGAACGAGGGCTCAATTGATTGCCGAGACATTCAATTCCATTGAAGGCATTCAGTCTAACCGAGTGGCCGGCGCTATGTATGCCTTTCCCAAAATTATTTTGCCGCCCAAAGCCATCAAAGCGGCCGCCGATAAGAAACAAAAGCCCGACTTTTTCTATGCCATGGAATTACTGGAGACGACAGGTATTTGTGTGGTTCCCGGTTCTGGATTCGGCCAAATAGAGGGAACATATCATTTCCGGACAACTATTTTACCCCAAATTGAAAACTTGCGTAAAATGATGAGTAAATTCAAGGAATTTCATTTGAATTTTGTTAATAAATACAAGTAATATAAAAGTCATTTTGTTTGACAATGAAATATAAATATTAATCCTTTTTATAAATATACTGTAAGCAATAAATTAGGCGTTAAATCCATTACAATAATAATATTGATTCTTATTTATAAGAATTATATATCAAATAAATTTGTTCATAATATAGTTTATAATTATACAAATATTTGTATCAATTAAATTCAAATGCCTTTTATACTAGTTTAGAATTTTTTTAAAAATTACCAAATGTTATTAAATAGATTTGTTTTTATCTAATGTTATAAAATTCAGTATTAAAATTAAATACATGTACTGTAACTGAAGTGCCGTATTTGAGGAGTACTTCAAACATGATTTATATTAATATTTGTAAAGAGATTTATTTATATTCAATAAAACTTAATGTTAGCCTTTAATATGTTATCTAATCTCAAGGCATATATAAAACATTACAAAAATAATAAATAATTTTTATGTGTATTTTTATATTTCATTTGATTTATTTTTATTCATATTAGTTAGAGATTTAATAAAATGTTTTGTTATTTTATTGGTTTATATTTTAAAGACAATTATTTACATTTAAAAATAATTAATATTCTTAAATATTGCAATTATTAATACTTACGAATAATAATAACAACAATAACTTATTAAATAATAAATGTATTAAATAATTGATAATAAATTAATGAGTGTTTGATTTTACATATTTATCGTGAACTGTGCTTTACTTTGATATACTTTGTTATATTGAATTACATTGAATTATAATAATTACAAATCAATTTCAATGTTTCATGCTTTTGTTGATTATTATTATTTGTTTAGCACTTAATTCTGTTGTGATATTATTGCTAAACCATCTCTATATCTCCCACACTAACCATCATTTACTGTATTATAATTTATAAGTAAATATACTTTTATTAACTATTAATTATTTTGATATTCAATAAAGAAAATTAAATTGTTTTTATAAAGAAAACAACATATGATTGATTAATATTGTTTTTAATTAATTTAATTTAATTGTAACTTAAATTTTGAACCAATGTGAAGACTGCAATTTTGGTTCATTTTTATCAATCATTTACACCAAACATAAAAATGAAGAAATTAACTCTTTTTGTAATAATTATCTGTTTGTTGCTTACAATTGATTTTATTGTCACCGAAGTTGGTATGAGATATTGTATTGTATTTCCACTTAATATAAATCTAATATGATTTTCAATATAGACTCCGGGTTTGGGAAGAGAATGAAGAAAAAGTTAAGAAAAAGCGCGAAAAAGGCGAAAAAATTGGCGAAAAAAGTTGAAAATACATCAAAAAAGTTTATCGATAAGACAATGGATTCGTTGTTTTTTAATTACTACACAGAATTGTGAATTGCAATTATGAATAAAATTATGGGACTTTACAAAACTTCTGCTGTATATTTATGTAACATGTTGAGTTATTTAAAGTGGTTATACAATATTAATACACCAATTGGCTATCATTTAATATAATTCATGTCTTATTTTGCAATTTTAATAATAAACTATTTTCCAATTCATCTCAAATATATATTCCAGCATTTATTTAGACTAAAATTTGTGAACAGAATTTATGTGATGTTTGAATGAAAGGTGGGTTTGAGTATAAAGCAATCTGAGAGCTGATCCTCATGTCTTCGCATCCAAAAATTCTCAACATTTTTATTTCAAATCAATTTTATTTAAACTTCCACAAATATAGCACATAATTATTAATACAGTATATGCAATTTATTAACACTTATTATTTATATTTGATTGTTATCTCCAATATTTTTATGCATTTAATAAATTTGATAATTGCATCAATGAATTCAATAAAGAGTTTAATTTATTTTTAATTCAAATGAAAAATTCCTAAAAGCAATAAATGTAATGAAGAATCGCATCATTAGTTCTTAATACACAGTATATAGAGATTTGTTTACGAAGAAAAACTTTAATTTTTTAACCACAATTCATATATGAAGAATTCGGTTTACCCCTCAATTTCCCCTCATCCCCCACACTATGGGATTTAACATGTGATTCCATGTTAATCATATGGCTATACTTTAACATAGGGAGATTCTCATAGGATAACATGGGAACACTTTTTTCTTGTTTCTGTTTTTGCTGTAACACATAGCTTAATTCTATGACATATGTTTAACATGTGTAATGCTAGGTCTATTGCAATGCTAATCCTATGGATAATGTTAAGTCTATGGGAGTAATGTTATTTAAATGGGAGAATGTTTTATCTATAAAGATATATTAAATTTGACAAATTAAATTAAACTAATTGTTGTAAAAAACATTTAAAAGTCTCAAAATAACAATTGTAAAAGTAATCTAACAACAGTAGTAAACAAGGATCACACAGCGATGCTATACGTTAACCACATAGCCCAGTACTGAGCATCTTTCATTAAAAAGCTTTTATTTTAGTTTTAAGCTAGACATTATTTGTAGTAAATTTTCAAACATTAGTCACAAATACCATTACATTTATTTACAAAACATTACCCATTATACATCCCACCACTCTCTATATTTGATAACAACATATTTGAGTGTATTAAGATAATGATATACCTATTAGAAAGTATGTTGCCCTATACTGCGGGCAAATGCACCATTATGCACGCCTAGCTCATCGTTGACATAGCCAAACGATCCTATAAACCACATTATTCATATCAGAATAGTGGTTAAAAATTAAAAATCTTTGATGCAATTCTCGAATTGTGGTTAAAGCATAGCATTGCGTGTAATCCTTGTTTGTCTATTATTTTTGGCAAAAATCCCAATTAAATAAGGAATATTTAACTAATGAATGAACACTAAAATAAAATACTTGTGTTAACTCTCCGATCAGTGAATAATTATAAATTCTTGTATTCTTTACAATTTCTGTAATTCACTTGAAGTGCTTTCAATGTTTTGTCGTTTATTTATTATTTTTCTATTTGTGAAAAATTGCAATAAATTATTAACTCTTAACATCACTTCAATTTATTTTGACTGAAATTATTCTTTAAAAAATAATTTTTCTATAAAACTATTTTTATATAATTGATTGCTTGAAGTTAAAGCAATACAATGTAATTGTTATATTATCTTTACTTGGTTGTTTATTATAATCAACTATTACATTTATTTAATATTTGCCTATATTAAATAATAGGTATTGTGCAGAACATTCAAGAATTTCTGTTCAAATTTCATAATGATAAATTTGAATATCTACTAGTATTACTATGAGCTTCCAGTAAAATATAATCACAATAATTTTTATTTGTTTTAAATATTATGTTATTTACAAATATGATTTTTTTGTCAAGCTCAATTTTGATTAAGAATGCATTCTTTGAGAAATAGTTTTAGACTTATTGTAAAAAGAGATGGAAATAAAATAATTGTAATATTTTCTCACATAAAAGTGATTTTTTGAAAGATTATCACATTTTAAGCTCAGTTTTCAAACCAAAAATTCTGGTTTCGCTCGCATTGAAAATATAAAGCAATAGCTCTATAAAAGTGTTCAATTGTAAGACAATATTCCGCATACATTATACAGAATATGTTTTATTTTACACCACTTTTCTGTCACCCCTTTTCAACATTAAGTCGTTTTTATTTATAGATATGTTTTGCAATAAAAATATATTTTACATTTCATTAGTTAGCTCTCTATTTATAAAATCCTTTGAAAACTAATAATATAAATGAATCCAAATTTAAATTAACGATCCATTTGTTGGAGGACTTGAGATACAAGAATTACTTGGAAATCATTTGTAGCTATAAAAACGGATGTGTTTTTCATAACAATTATGATAAATATATTAAAACAAATGAATGAGTAAAACTAGTAGTCCTTAAATGTAATGTAAAACTTGTGCCAAAATCGCTAAATAATGAGAAAAACTTAGATTTAGCGTAAAATTTATTCCTGTGTTTTTACACTTTGATAACATATTTAATTGTTGGTGTAATTAATAGTTGCGGAAAGATCCATGGACAATTCTGGCACTATTATACTAATTAAATGATTAGATTTTAATTATATCTAACATTGATGAGACAATTCGTTCAAAATTAATACTAGAAATACATATAACAGTAACATGTAATTTATTATAAGTTATAACATACTACACCGTAATATATAGTATAGTTTTAATTATAACTTATTTATAGTACGATTTGAAAACAGTTCTGTTATAATGAATGCCTTTCTCTAGACGTCGGCACTCTTCTGATTGCAAAAACAAAAACTAAGTATTAAAAGATTTCTTTTAA